GGACCGAAGTCCGGAACTGACTAGGGCCTTGCCCACTGCATCGGACCGAAGTCCAGAACTAACTAGGGCCTTGCCCACTGCATCGGACAGAAGTCCGAAACTAATTAGGGCCTTGCCCTCTGCATCGGACCGAAGTCCGGAACTAACTAGGGCCTTGCCCTCTGCATCGGACCGAAGTCCGGAACTGACTGAACATAGCATAACATAATCATAACATACAACAATAACACATATACTGTATACTGCATCGGACCGCAGTCCGGAACACATAACACATAGACATGCCTGAATCACAAAGACATCAAGCATACTGAACTACTTCTCGGGACCACCCCGACATCGGACCGAAGTCCAGAACACATAACATATAACACGTAAGCTAAATCACTGCATCGGGCCCCGCCCGGCATCGGACCAAAGTCCGGTACTACTAACATCTAACATGTAAGCTAAATCACTGCATCAAGCCCCACCCGGCAGCAGACCAAAGTCCGGTACTACTAACATCTAAACGGGCTGGCATTGTGGCCTTAGACCCGTTCCTACTGGAAGAGAACTCACCTCACACTGCTGAAGTCTCGCTGACAGAACCATAGCTGCTCGATGACAGATTCCCAATCTATCAATATCAAAATAACTCCCAATTAATAATTGGGTTCTAACACATATTCATAAATCCATGCTTGGGGTAAAAGACTACTTTACCCCGTAACCTAGCTTGACTCAAGCCCAAGTCCCAATCCAAAGGCCCAAAAGTCTAATAATGGACCAAGGCCCAACTATGGAAAATTGGGCCCAAACCTCTACATGGACTTCCCTTAAGGCCCAATTGTTCAGTCCAGTCCAACATGTCTCATTCTAAGGGCCCAATATCATACAACCATCTAGGCCCAAACTATGGCCCAATTTTCCAAATTGGGCCCAATCCTTCATATGGGCCTTACCCTAAAGCCCAACTAATTACTCTAGTCCATTTGATTATTCTTGGATAGCCCATTAATAAACCAATTACCAAAGCCCAATGGAAAGGCCCAACTCAAGGCCCAAGTGACATTAGGGTTTCACATAAAATGACGATTAGGGTTAAGTGTCTCTTACTTAACCCATTAAGGACTTAATCCATTAAGTCCTTTACTCTATGGAATAATTGGGCTTAATACATAATCCAATCCCAATGGCTCAAAAATGGGTCCAAATAAGTCCAAGGCCCAAATACTCACAATTAGGGTTTTCTATACCCTAATTAGGATTTTTCACTCAAACATGGCCCAATAGGCCCAAAACTAATCCTTAAGCCCATTAGGGTTTTGCTAGGTCCATTAGGGTTTTGCTTGTAGGGCACCACCCACTACCACCTCGGGTAGTGGTGGTCAATGGCGGCTCACGGCGGCGGCCACCACCTTACGGTGGTGGTTATTATTATTTTTATTATTTAATGCTAATTACAGTTACAAGGCTTTTATCCAAAATAACACACACACACACACTCACTAACACACACTAACTAATACATACACTAACTAACACACACACACACACAACCACACCATGGTGGCCGGCGGTGGCGCTTGGCGGCAGCCACCACCTCACGGTGGTGGTGGTGGCCTTATAGGTTTTATAGCCACGCAAAACACCAACAAAACGAACAACAACATCAGATTACACACATACATGCGACCCAGAAACTGAAACGTCCACTGCAACCTTCCTCGGGGCGGTGGTTGTTGGCCGGAGCAACAAGAGCAAGCCCTACGGGCGGCGACAGTCGTGACTACGGCGCCACACTGGAGAAATGGAGAAGGAGGGTTGAGACTTCGCTAATAGCAGCAGCAGCAACAACTGAAAATGACCCCTTTTTGATCTTCGTTCACGACAACCTTAACAGTCAAGAGTCACGGGAATGGCGGCGCTTGACGGCAACGTTGCGGCTCCACAGCGCTACAACGGTGGTCGTAGGCTGAGGCAACCACCCAAACGCGAACCAGAAGAAGAAGAAGAAGAAGAGAGGAACGTCCGATAATATCAACAACGCCGCCGTGAATCGTTTCCGGCAGCCTAGGCGACCTCCGATGCACGCGGCGGCTCTGACAAGGAAGCTGCTGTGGCGTTTTGACGGCGATGGGCCCCTGAACGGCCGGAACAACAAATGATGGTGGTGGCTGTCTTCACGCATGGCGGCTGGAAGCTAATCGGAAAGGAGGGTGGAGGGATAAGGGTGGCGGCTAGAGGTTGAAGGTGGAGAGGGTGACGACTCCTCAAAGAATTCTAGGGTTAGGGTTTCCCGAATGGATTATATACCCTGGTGCTTTTCCAATTCATTTCCATAATGATGATTTTGGTCCCTCATTCTCATTCTTCTTTCAACTAGGTCCATAATTTACCCTTTTTACCCTCACTCCTGAAATCCTTTACAATTTAAGCCCAAGACTTACACTTTAGCCCCTGACCCCACAAAATCTTTGCAACTTAAATCCAACATATACTAAACAGCCCCTGACTTCAAAAAATATTTACAAACTAAATCTGAAACTTACACTTTTAACCCTCAACTTCTAAATTATGCTAATTAGCTCTTCGAGACCATCCTTTGATGTATAATTATTTATTTTAGGACTACCTTCATTCATTAATTAATTTATTTATCTAATAAATAAATGGGGTGTTACATTTCAAAACCTTGGAAAATGATGTGTCACTAACGTAACAAACCAAAAGTATGTTAAGGTGTGTTACCACATCCAACGGTCTAAACAACAATTAGATTTGTCAACTAATTCAAGTCTCTATTGAACTCACTCGTCATTACAGATACTCTAATAGCATATTTGGGAGGCAAAATGGATGTAAGAGTGACACCATTCTGGTTAGCCTAAAGGTGGTCTTCATCCAATCTTCAAAGTTTCACGTTACAATTGGAAGAGTTGCTTGTGCCTTTTCTCATTTATCCCATTGATCTCATCTAACCAAGGAAATGATATACACAGCTAAGAAAAAGATATACATGTACTAATAAGGACAATATATACATAGCAAGTATATGCACTAATCTCGCCAATAGGCAATAGGTTTGAACTTTGAACAACAGAGGTAATTTAACCTTAAGCTATATGGTATCGAGTTATGAAGGCTACGCGTAGGGCTTACGCGGCAAGGCCACCTACGCGTGAACACCGCCCCAGGCGCGCGTAGGTGCCTTGTGGCGTAGTGGGCATCATGGACGAAGACAACCAATTAAAAAGAGAGAGAGAGAGAGAGAGAGAGAGAGAGAGAGGGTGTAAACGGCTATTTTTTGCTTTTTGACCGTTTGAGTTTACAAAAAAAAATTAAATTTTAAATTTAAAAAACACCACCTTTTATCTATATATATATATATATATATATATATATATATATATATATATATATATATATATATATATTACACTTTCACTCTTCATTTTACACTTCTAAATCCAAACAATACTCCTACTTTCTTTCACTTTTCTTCAAAAAAATGGATCCCAACCAAAATACTCTACCCACTCCAAACACCCCAAACACTCCTAGTGATTATCAAGCTTATATGCAATTGTTGAATTCTCCAATCTAAAAACAACCTTTATTCACTAACCTTCCCTACAACCCACAATTCTTCCAACAACAACGACCACAACAAGAATTCACTCAACCTCAATTCACTCCCCAATTCCAAGGCTTCCAACAACAAGCTTCTCCACAATTCCAAACTCAATCATCTCAAGTCCCATTATCTCAATCCCAAACCGTGAACCTCGATAACGACGATGTACTTGTCCAAGAAACACCACAATCATCTCGAAGAAGGCAACCAAAAGGAAAAGGGAAAAAGAAAGCAACGGCTTGGAACGAAGAAGAGGAAGAAGCTTTAGCAAAAGCTTGGATTTTCATATCCACTGATTCGAGAAGAGGCAACGTGCAATCTGGAGAAAGTTTTTGGAATCGTGTTTTGGATCACTTTCACGCGCTACTTGGAAGGAAAACGGATCTGTCGTACGACGCGGTCAACGGAAAATGGCGTGATCTTCGCGCGATTTGCACAAAGTTTAATGACATATTTGAAAATCTAAAAAATATGCATAAAACTGGTTCGAACGATTTCAACATTTTATCAACCGCGTGCTACCAATTCAAAGTGACCAACAACGGTAAACCATTTGGTCACCAAAAAGCATGGAAAGTTTGTCGTCAAGGTCCAAAATGGGTCCTTAATCCGGAGACATCGCATTCGGACTCGACCACCGGCTCCAACAAAAAAGCAAGAACTTCTGAATCAGACACGGGTTTTGGGTTAGACCTCAATGATGACGTCGATGTTGCCGAGGGAGAGGGTCTACCTGAAGTCCAACTCCGTCGACCACCGGGAAGGGACAAAGCAAAACGGGCGGCGTCTTCAAGCGGGAAAGCAACCGCAACTAGCGACGACGGGCTTGTGGAATCCATAGATAAAACTTTAAGTTTTCTAGAAAGAAAATACGAATCCACGGAGGAATCTCGTCGCCAAAAAATCACTCTTACCGATCTTCAAATCATAAACTCGAAGCCCCTACCGGATCTCGACCCCGAAAATCTCGCGACATTTCTTAAAATCCAACAACATGTCCGTGCTAAGTATGAGTAGGTTCTAATATTTATGTTTTAGTTGTTATGTTGTGTGTTTTTTTAAGTAATTTAGGATAAATAAGTAATTTATGATTTTTTTTTTGTTTTAAATATTTTAGAATTTGATCTTGTATGTTTTAAAATTAATGAAATGTGTATTAATTTAGTGTTTTATTTGAATTATTTTATTTAATTTACTCTAATATTGAAAAAAAATAAAAAATAAAAAAAAATGATGTCAAAGTAACCATTTTCAAGGGTTAGTTGGTTGGTAGCGGAGATGATGCGGTGATGATGTGACTTCACCTTTTGAGTAGCGTTATGATTAACATCATACGTGCAGGCCCCATTCATTTGGGTTCACATCCTTCGGACCTTCCCCTATGCCCATCAATCCGTACGCCTTTCAACATTGCTGTTTCTTCCCTTTCTTGGTTTTGGTTTGTTGCGAGTTCCCGAGGGCACTGAGACAAAACAGTGAGAGAAAGGGTTGGACATCACATTTCTTTCTCTTCCCGCCAAAAAACACTCGTTTCAAATTGATTCCCAAACCAGTTCCGCACTCACCCACTCAAATGGCGTTCTGGGGTATGTTATCTTCTTATTTTGAATCTTATCCTCTTTTAATCTTTATAATATCGATGCACGAATATCACTAATCGTTTATACTCGTCGTTCTCTTGTTGACAAAATTGAGAAGGGGTTTATCTCAAACCCAATGAACCGTACACTCTACGCTATGATGATGATGCTGTTCCGAAGAGACTTCGCATTACTCAGGTAAGCATTCATTCCCAATATGCTTTTGTTTTTTCTCTCGTCGGTTTGGGTTTGAATACGCCAGTCTCATTCACCGGTTAACAGGCTACACTCGGAGATGCTACACGTAATTCACCGGCGAGGAGCATAGTAAGATGTTCGATAGGAGATAAACCTGCAATCGCTATATGTTCATTGTCTGTAAAAGAGATGACTTGTTGTCAACTAGATCTTGAGTTCGAGGAGCCCCAGACTGTTATCTTCTCCGTCATGGGTCCTCGCGGTGTTTATCTTGCTGGTTATTTGATCGTTCCTCCTGCTCCCACTTCTCATCACCATGCATTGTAAGTCCCTTAGATTCGATCTTGAAACCTCAAAAACATGGACGATCAACTAATATGTCATTGACAACTCAATTTTAGTTGCCATGAAGAGAAAAAGAAAGCGCCCGCGTCCATGGAGAATGCTGGTTGTAGTGACGCTCATGAACTTGATTCTAACAAGACAGGTATGTTTCTTGCCTACATAAGTGTATTTTGTGTTCAGGGAAGATAAAGATAGGAAAACTTTGTGTTTGCGTGTGTGTCCCGTGTCCTTTTCTATTTATATCTCGTGACTTTTGCATTTAAAATTTATCAGATCCCATTAAAGATTCAACCACAGCTCAAATCACAGACATTAACCATTGTGATAAAATTATGAACGGCGGGAAACGTTCTCTAAAATGTTACTCAGGCAACGAAATTGGGTATGTTTTTCCATCTTTTCACCCTAAGCTTCAGTTGTTGGCAACCAGTTATAATGAGCCAAAAATGTACCTTTTCAATCTAAAATTTTGTTTGAATTATGAGGAGCAGAAAGGATGATAATCAAGATCCTAGGTTTGGTAGTCACAAGAAGTACATAAATAGGCAGCAGCCGCCCGGCAGTTCTAATGAAGATGGAGAGAAATCCAGTGCTTTGAAATTGTTTTCAGTGTTTGGTAGATTCCTAGAAGAGAAAAGGTATTTAGTTCAATTTCTTGATCATCCAATCCATATATTTGGTTTTGACAGAAAGTAAATACCATAATGAGTTCTACAAGTAAAAAGGGTCGAAGTGATTCTGTCAAATGCCTTTCTAATTAATGTTACTCTTTCTGGGTAGATTATGAAGTAGTTTGGATAAAATGAGATACAAATTCCTCTTTCTTTTTCCCATGTTGTCCATACAAATGTGGTTCGGATAAAGATGTTTAACAAAATACGTGGAAAGAGCAAATTTAGGGAAATGGTAAGAAAAAGTAAAGGACAGATTTGTAAAACGATAGGACTAAACAGAAAAACCCATTTTCTAACACCTATTATCAAGTTGTTTTTTCATTTATTAAACATTCATATATAGCTTATCACGACTCACATTCTCATTTAGTAGGGATGCTATTGAAAAAAAAAAAAAAAAGAGGAGGAATATGAAATGGAAACTGAGAACCCCCAACAAGACCAAGGAGAAGGAAAAGAAACATAAAAGGAGTAAGTTCAGTGTCGAGTAAGTTGTCAAAACCCCTTTTTTATGTTTTTATGAGCAAATTGATATGTAATTATATATATCAACATAAGCTATAAATATATGTGTTAGCGCCGATATCGAAGTACTTGCTTTTTATCGTCAGGGACAATTCTTTTGGGAAGATGAAGTAAAAGGAACAAGAGAGAAAAACAAGCAAAGATGAATGGTTAGCTTAAAGGGTTAATGAGGGAAGGCAATTTTAATTTTGTGCTAAGTTTTACATAGCATTTGTATAGTTTAAGTGCCATGTACTAGTTTATGTGTTTGAAGGTAAATGGTTTTTTGAAGGGTGATGCTAAAAATACCTCATTGATGAGACATGTGTACGCCCCCACATACACACCTCATCATTGGAGCTTATTTAGGATTCCTGATGATAATGACATGAGAGGGTAACGTACTTTAGTTATTGGTCACATTTGTCATTAATTTTTTTTCGTGCTTTATTAACCCTTGAACTTGTTGAAACATGTACATTATACCAGTATGACCGGTAATAGTGAGTTTTGCCGGTTTCCGACCAAATACGATTTTCCAGTCATCTTCTCCGGCGTGGTCAACTTCTCCGGCGAACATTAATTTTCCGGCAATTTCAAAATTTTTCATGAAATCATTTAAACCAGAAATGCACACACATCAGGTTTGAGGGTTCTGAAAATCGATGAATACACTCTTAAAAATGATTTCAGAAACAATGAACAAATCTGAAATCAACGAACACATTTGAAGGGTTTGTTCTTGAACTTGTTTCTTCCATGGATGAACCTTCAAATGATTTAAAAAATAAAAAAGTCTGCCATTGATGACCTTCAAACCCAGATCTGAAAAACCCTCTTGCACCTTCGTGAACCACCAGTCGCACCACTTGTTTCACTCGCTGCCATCGTTGAAACAAGACCACCATTGAGCATCTCCTCAAATGTAACCATCGACCCTGTATCACCTTCAAACCTTGCGTCGTGGTTGTTATTTCTGGGCAGGATCTTCAAGAGCGGATGAACGAACCCTAGATTTAGGGGTTTTGATTTTCAGGTTTTGAGTTCTTTTTATCTTCAACCTTTGGGTTTGGATCTAGATTTTTGTGTACCTGTATGTGTTCTAGGTTTATGAGTATCTCCTCCTTAGCAAAACTGATGAGTTCATGTTCATCTTCTTCATCAACTTCAAATTTTCACACACAAACACCAAGAACACACAATTGAGTGTGTTTTGTGAGTTCATTTTCTGATTCTTGTGTCTATTTCCTTCAATAAAACCTAGATTAAAATTGTGGCCGGAGGTAAGGAATGCAGGAAAAATTGGCCGAGAAGATGACCGGAAACCAGGTCGGAAAGCGGCAAAACCCACTATTACCGGTCATACTGGTATAATGTATATGTTTCAACAAGTTCAAGGGTTAATAAAGCATGAAAAATAATTTAGTGATCAAATGTAACCAAAAGTTAAAGTGCGTTACCTCTCAAGTCATTATCCATTTTGAAAAAATACTAAAATAGAGTTTCACGTTGGCTTAAACTTGTTTTATTTTAAAAAAAGCTAAGTTGAGTGTGACCTGTTTAAATGTTGTCCATTGACATTCTTAACCTGTGACTTGTTTGGGTTTTATCGGTTTGATTTCTTTTCAAAATTACATCGTAATAATATGTAAATATTATTAATTGATAAACATATTAGGAAAGTATGAACAAAAACATGTGTAAAATTACAAACATAATAAATCACAAAATAAAAATTGCATCGTTTACGTTTATCATTATAATTTTGTAAATCATGATTTGAGTTATAAACAAACAAATGAAACTTATAAATATGATATTATTATACATACCATAATTCTCATTACTCATATCAACATAAACTTAAAATGTGTTGGAAAATTAATTTAATTAATTTCCAAAAATGGATTTTCTCCATTTTTTGAGCACAAATTTTGGACTCTAAATATAATCAAAACAAGTTATTGATTATATATTCGTGTTCTCCTCCGTGATATCTACGTTTCGATATATCACACGTCCAAAACGGATTAAAAATGAATGAGAAATTACTTGTCAAAGTAGAGCAATTGGAAGAGAAAATAAAAGAGTTAAGTGGGTTTAAAACTCATCCCACATTGGTGGGAGAATGAAAAGGAAATTGGTTTATAACTACAAAGACTAGCTACCTTTTTGTAAGACTTATTAGAATCAAGGCTCTCTCTTGCGCGCATGCAGGGGGTGCAAATGCAAGCCAAATTGGCTTCGTTCTACTGAACTTGTGTGCGAGCGCGCGGGCACGAATGCACCACCGGTCAACCAGAAAAGTTCAAGGACCTTTTAGGCATTTTTTCCTTTTGGTTAACAGTTACAAAACCGAATTAAGAGCAATTAATCATAGATTTCGGTTTTGATTTCTTGATTAATTTTCTTATTTAATTGTGACAGTTACGATTTCGTTTTAATTGCATCGGTTACATTGGGTAGTATATATACAATGCATATGTGACTGATTCCATACACCGGATGAAACGAAATCACTCTCTTCCTCTCTTACGCTTCTGCTTCATCTTTTCTCTCTTGCTGCAACCAAGGTATATTCCGGGCCAAGTGAGGGTTCGAGCAATCTACAAGAATTGCTTTCTACTGTTGTATCCTGGGAAACAAACACCCATATAGGGCAAATTTGTTTTATGGAAACTGTGTTAAACACAAGCCTCAGTCAAGAATTTTATGCTTTTGTTCTTTCGTATAATTTTGGGTTATATTTTCCTAACAAAATGTATGTATAATTCTGCCGCAATAGTTTGTGAATATTGTCACTTTTCATCCCTAGCTTTTATTAAAGTGGTTCCTTAGCCAAAATATAACATTATTAAATTCAGTGGGTCTTCACTGCCAAATTCTCCACAACAATGCTGTTAAGATCGAGATCTTACTTAACATCGTTTTATGTGTTGTAAGATCGTGATCGTAGCATCGGAAGATCCTATCAAAATGAACTAATATCAAATTTATTGATAAGGTCTTGGGTTTAGAATATACAACAATACTTGATGTTAATGAAAACGTTGATATGGAGCCAATTCTAACATTTTAAACATGAACCATAATTGTTTTTTATGCAAACCGTAAAAATTTAGAAGAAAACATCTCAATTACAAAAAGAAACAAGATCATTATGATCTACAACTAAAGGCTTAAGATCACAAATGGAATATCTCGAGTGTAACATGCCTAATTCGTGATGAAGTGATGACGCTCTATGAGGCTTCTTGCAACTTGCAATGCTTGTTTTCAAGTTGAATAAATGATTTTTTTCGACAATATTGAATATAATAAAACCAGAGAGGTAAACAATGGCGAATCTAAAACCAAAAACCATGTGGTTCCTTATGTAATCAAAATCGAAAAAAATGAAAGAGTAAAAGATGATAATGTGGGTCGGGTCGTATCCCTTCCATTATCTAAACGTAATTTCAATAGTTATAATAAAAAATTCGTCAAGGATATGTAGCCTAGAGGAGACGCACACGTTGATCAGTGATCAAACCTTTAGTGCTTTTTCGTTTCCTTTTTTTTATAGTTTTATTGGATTGGATTGTTGCATTTAAATGTACTGATGCATTGAACTATTTTAAATATATCATAATAAAAATATGGGCTCATATAATTTTGATGCAATTGTGTTTTCAAAATAAAATGTATAGGGCAGGTCCTAAAAATTTTATAAGGTAGTTCACAATTTTTTTTTATGTATAACTTACACCATTTTAAAAAAAAATAGGTGTGTCCTAGGACCCACCTTCACCCAAGGTAGATGTGCCGCTGGAGGTGAGATCGGATCGTGTTAAGATTTTAAGATCCTAGTTAGGATCCTAAGAACTCTTTATAGATCTTGCTTCATATAGATCCTAGTAAGACCGGGTTCGTTTTTGGCTTGCATGATCTTAAAATCATAAGCTGTTAAGATCAGGATCAAGATCTTAACAACCATGCTCCACAATTACGACTTTCTAATTCACATCGTCATGGCAATACATAACTCAAAAAATAATGCTCTCTAATAACAGTCGTTAATTGGAAAAAAAAACACCGACCCCTCAGTGTAATATGGGGTTATTTGTTAGTTATAATTAAAGTGTAAACAAAATAGATATGATTGAGTAATACAAAATTGAATTAATAATTTATAAACTTGAATTGCACTATAAAATTATAAAAATTACAAATAATAATAATAATAATAATAATAATAATAATAATAATAAACATTTTAAACTTACAAACCATGACTTGAATAATTGTGATAACATTACATTGCATTACAAATAGACAAAATGTAAAAAGCAATCAGGATTCAGGCAAAAGTCATTTCTTTTTCCTTTCTTTATGTGTTAGGAAAAAATATATCTTCACAACAATAAAAAATTTGTTAACAGTTCAGGTGAATCACCAGCAAAAACCAAAACCTTTAACCCTTAAAATCAAGGGTGACCCAACAACGAAACAAAGAGAATTTATAATCAAATAGATAAAAATGTCTAACAAAACCAAATAATCAAATAGATAAAAATGTCTAACAAAACCAAATAAACAATATATCAATAAACAACCAAAACTACACATGATTTAGGGAGGTGCTAAAAAACCTCAAATAAGGTTTCTTTTACCTAGTTTTCCTAATTATACTTTTTGTTTTTGTTTTTTTTTCTTTTTTCTTAGATTACTTTTTATTTATTTATTTCTTTTTTTCTATATATATATATATATATATATATATATATATATATATATTATATAATATATATAGGCTTAGATTATTCTATTCTAACTAATTATTGTGCGAACGTATGGACAATGCTATTCTTTGAAAATGATAAAGAAAATATGTTGTTTGATAATATAAATACGTTCAATCTTACATAACTATTGTCATTAACACACATTCTCACTAATTAAATCGTCTATAAGATTATTATACACTTATTATTATTATTCTTATTTCTGTCAGAATGTTGTCAAAATGTTTATTGAGTCGTATTCTGTCAGAATGAAAATGAGTGAAAAACGATGTGTGAGAACAAAAATAAATAATAATTAGTGAGAATGCATGAAAATGACGATATTTTTGTAAGGTTGAACGTATTCGCATT